TCACAAACGAACGTAAATCGATTCCGACGATGACTGCAATCGTTCGTTTTCATTATTCAAACAATATTGTCAAATTGCAAAAAGCGATCTTTCGATTATCCAATTGACGGGACGGAATGAATTACACGAAATAGTTTTTAGTGATTTCATGCAATTTTCTATGGAAGTGAACGGGTCGCTGCAAGGACAAACTGCGATTGGTGCAATTTCGAATGGTTTTCTCTCGCGACCCTACTTCGACGATTGGAATGCAGCGTGTAATTTAAGTTGACGAAATTGCTTTATTACTTTCACCCTTAGCATCTGAATTTTCGATGTACCTGTCGTTTGAAATCAGATTATAGGAAAAGGATGCAAGAGAAGCGCATTCTTGCTAAATTCTGATAGGACAATTACTTTTTTAACTTTACTGGAAATATGTTTTTCATAATTAAACTCAATTTTTTTCGATACAAATTTAATTGTTAAGAAAGTTTGCAAAAATGTTTACAAATACAACGATAAAATAAGAAAGAAGTGAGAAAACTGATTAATTTAAAAAGTAAATTATATTTTAGAAAAGTACTTTACAGATTAACAGTTTCGTACAAATGTTCAAAATTACGAACTACAGAATTGTAACTAAACTAATATCAAGAATATATATACGTCGTTTAGGTTTTGCAGAATTTTGATTTCTACAAATACGATGAAGAGCTCAGATATTTCTCCATTTGCCTTTCAAATTCACATAAATATCTGAAGGTACAGGTTGTGTACTGAATAAGTAAACTTGATATGCTTATTTATCTCATCCCACTTATTCTACCGATATGATATCTCCACATTTCTCTTCTCCCTTGCCAAATAACTGTACAATACGAAATGGAAAACCAATTTCGAATTAGTTTTACCTCGGCATGCCAACATCCCGATATCGACATTTCATAAACAGCCACGGGACGTCGAAACGATAAGTCGTCCGAACGAACCGCATCATCGTTCGTGCAAACAATCGGTAGCAATTTGTAAACTCGGAATGATCGTGTGCTTATGGCCGATACCGTTCCTTTCACGGCGGCTCAAAGGTACCTGGCAAAAGAAAAGAAGGTTTGCCTCGGCAGTGTTTGACTCCTCCTTCGTCCGTTTCTCTCCACCTCCATGAAACGATCGCTTTCGTCTCGTGTACCATCAAGAGCAGTGAACTTTTCTCCTTGCCCCGTCGCGAATCAGTGAAAACGTACGGTACGCGTGCGCCCCGGGTAAGATGACAAACCTTCGTCGACATCTACATCGTCGTCATCCTTCGAGATCTCTCGTCTTCGTCACTTCCAGTAACGTACGAGACCACCTCCGGGACGTACGAGTGTTTGATAAACCGGTTAAGGCCCATCCCCGGATCTGTTTGCCTTTGGCTTTTGTAACTTTACTAGTGTTGTGACTCGGCTCGGAGCTAACACGAAAAAAGGGTCTGCGATGGTACCCCGAGCAAACAGTCCATGTGTGTCCCGGATCAACACGGCGCACGCCTCTATCGGCGACCGTAGCCTGTTCGTTGCGGAGGAACACGCGGATGTGGAAGACAATCCAACCGCAAGCTTTCCACACTATACATATTAGATCGTAATCGGCGAACTTTCAGTTTCCCCCTTTCCGCTTGGTCTTGAGTTTCCGTCGCACTCCGAATGACTTTTGTTTTCGACGAAGATTCGTTCGAATTGACCCCTTGTCATATGATTTCTTTCGTAACTGCGGCCCATAGAACTATTCCAGGGTTAGCAATTTACTAGAAGAAGAGAAAAACTCTATGTCCTGTGTATGAATTTATTCCAAGATTAACAATTAATAATAGAAAACTAACATTTAATTTTAACTTAAATGAGTGTACTGATATTTGCATTTGCGAACTTTCTTCGAAACTTTCATTATGGGTCTAACACGGTATTATAAGGCAAGGGGTTAACGATGCTGGAGAGAACGGAGAACAGTTAACATTACCCGATTGCAAATTTTTATGCGAAATCGATTTTCAAGAATATTTTATGCGAAATCCTAATTAGGAATACTTGGGGATAAAATACGACTTTATCTGGCGTATTAATTTCTTGTTTTGTGATTCTTTCTTGATTAGTTCCATAAGGGTTTAATTATTGTTAATAATTTCTCTGCAGAAAAAGAAATTATATGTTCATTGTAGAATTAGATTGATCTTCATCATTAAATATTTGTAAGTAATATATGTTATTTTTTTTAATCAACGAGAATTGAATAGTATCCGTATGTATTAAGTTTAATGTAAAATCTTCACCACGAAGCAAACTCGATATTATAGAGTAAAAATTTAAGAATTTTAGTATATTCAAAATAAGGTTAAAATATATAAAATTATACAAAAGCTTCTTTTCTATATTTTTGTAATATTTAAAAAAATCCTCATTTACTCATTACAAAGTGCAGATAAAAAATTATACTTTTGTGCAAACTTAATTAGGTTGTTAATCAATTTTAAACGTGGTACCATAGCGGGAAATTGAAAGAATCGTTTGATATTGCTAAGAATGTGAACAATTAAAAAAGTGAACATTTTTATCAACTATTATCAATAAACCATTAAGAATGCAATAAACACAAAGCAATTTTGCATTTAAAAACTGAACTAAGAATTTCTGAATACTTTGCTGAGTATTTATTATTTAATGATAACAACGTTATTGCAAAATGGACTGATTAAATAGAATTTCATAACTTTATAAATGTAATGTAACTCTCCCTTCATATACTCGTGCAGCGGCTTGTATGAGTTTATATAATAAGCCAATCATGCTTAACGAGAAACTCAATATTTGTATAACGGTTAAAGTAATCAGTGTTAAATTATGAGGCCGACATCTTGGGAATTTTTAAAAGAAGCACAATTACACGTAATTATACAGTCATAATTATATTATAATTAAGAATATAATCCGCAGTTGTTGGTTGTTTGTCTGGTGCAACGTACCCGCGTAATTTAGAAAAGGTGGAAGGATAATTCGTTTCTGAAATATAAGATCCCGTATCGCTTTACGAAAATTTCGATTTGCTTTTATTTGAAATGCGAAAGCAGTTTCTCGGAGTTCGTTTCTCTCGGTAGTTAATTCGTTTTCCGAGGCGATTTGTATCTCGGATTGAATTCCTACTCTGTGATAATTATACGATTGGTTCTATCCAGGCACGATAGTAATTTACGGTCGTGCGAGTATAAAATTTATTTCGATCGGAAAGAAATGTTTTGCTAATTTTAATATCGTTCTTTTTATTCACGACTGTAACGTAAACATTCTACGTAGAATTGATATTATAACGAGCCGGTGATATCTTTCTTCCCGACCATCGTTTCAGAAGCCAAATAAACACACGGGGAGCATAAGCTCGTGCGTTGATTCGGTTTTAACGCTTAGTCACTCGTCTACTAATTTTCCCTATAAAGGTCCCCCGATGATTGATGAGGTATTAGAGATATTCATTCCGACGAAAGTGTTGTCATACGAGACCACAACAAAGCGACACATCTCTTCGTTATCTGGCGTGAAACGTTATGCATGTGACCCAAACGCGTCGTTATCATTGGGAAACGACGCTTAAGTAAATTCATATCCGAAACTTGAGAGGGCTATTAACCAGGTTCATCGATTGTTATTAAGTGATACCTTTAGAAGAGATACAGTTTAGATGCGTTTCTTTTTCAATTCCTATCATCTTATGCACGATGGAGACGAATACAGTTCGACACACCACACGGTTAAATATCTGGCTCAGACCGAATTTGGGCTACTGATAATCGGTATTTAAGCTTTCACTTGTACGCTGAAAGAATGATGGCAAATACAACGTGCAACAAAAACAGAAATTTTATCATAATTTCAAGATCAAAGAAGTACAGAATAAGCCACTCTTTTCGAGTACGTTTGCCATCGTATTTCCGGATACTGTTCAAACAAAAGATTTCCTTTAGAAATGACTCTTCCTGATAATACTTATCGATTACGAATTAGATTACTTAACCGACTCGGTGTCTCAGTTTATAAATACAGTTATTCTCGTTTAGTCGATGAAAATTGGTTCACGTGAAGATCAATTAACAACAAGCATCACAGTAAAATATTACAAAATAAATACTGAAAAATTACTGGAAACAAGTAAATTATAAAATAATGAGGTCTTCAATAATTATCAGAGATAGTAGTCTGTAATGTTCAAAAAGGAAACGTCTTAGATCATGTCTGATTTAATTACTTGATAAACAATGTTACCGATGCAGTTATAATTGCGAACATGTATTCGAAAAGACTGTATCGATCGGGTATTCGTTCCAACCAACAAAATTAAGCGAATGCTGCAATCAATCTGTCGAACCCGTTTAAAGAAGTATTAACAGATGGAAGGAGAAAATAGTATAATTGTCGTGCGGAGAAAGAAAAAAAGGCATGATAAAAGAACGAAAGGAATCCTTACGTGTCACTGCATCATTATGTACATTACAGCAAAACTTGCTGTTAGCTTCAACTTGCCGTTAGTTCTTTCCTGCAATTGATTCCACGAAATACTCGTGGTGGAAATAAATGGCAATTATCTTGCAAGTACAGGTGAAACAAGCAAACCGCGAATGATCGACTATACGAAAACACGGATTATTCATGTGTATCACCGTCAAGTTCGACAGAAAGTTACTCCGCCCGCGTCACCGACGG